GCGCTCTCTACCCGTGGAGCTCACGCCTTACGGGTTTCGCGCTCCCTACCCGTGGAGCTCACTCACTTACGTTTCGCGGCTCCCTACCACCGTGGAGCGCACCTCACTTATCGGTATCGCGACTCCCTATCCGTGGAGCTGTCAGCTCACTTCCACGTTTCGAGCTCCACCTACCCTGGAGCTCACTCACTTACGGTTTCGCGCTCCCTACCCGTGGAGCTCACCTCCTTACGGTTCCGGGCCATCTCTACAGCTCACCACCCACTTGATCTCACGTCATTGTGCGGGTCCCGCGCGCCCTACCGATGAAATGCGGTGATAGTAATTCAGCTTCTCCCACTCAGGTCGGGTCCCGCGCGCCCTACCAGTGGATTTGGGTGATAGCAATTCAGTTCTCTCGCTCAATTCGGGATCCGCGCTCCCAACCTATGGCGAGGAGGCATCTGCCTATATGTGAACAAAACTGAACTATACCTATGGCGAGGAGGCAATCTGCCTATATAGTGAACAAACTGAACTATGACCTATGGCGAGAAGGCATCTACCTATATAGTAGAACAAACTGAACCTATGGCGAGGAGGCATCTGCCTACATAGTGAAACAAAACTGAACTATGACCTGGGCCCAGGCTGGCCAGAATTTTGAAAACTGATATATGACCAACACCGCTTCCAAAGTTTCTTTAAAATCCCTTCAACGATGCCTTCCTGCAAAACGGTCAGTCACAGAATAAAAGTCCTTCTTTCGAATATTTTCCTCCGGAGCTCCGGCCGGTCGTCGGCGGCCACCGCCCCAGCCCGGCTGCTGCCGGTCTAAGGCAGCCGCCACCCGCCCGACTGACAGAGGGCTGATCGTCTGACTGTCTTGGCTGCATGCTTTGTGGACAGGCAGCATTTCTCACTGGCGTCTAAAATAGGTGGGACGCCAGCTGTAGAACTTGCCACTGAGCTACTTACCCGCCGCCCCGCCACAGCATTATACAAAATCTCGAAGAACTAAGTGCTTAGGAACGTTTGGTCCACCGAGCATTCACTCGCCCCTCGTCCACTCCACCGAGCATTCACTCGCTCCTCATCCAACTCCATCGAGCATTCACTCGCCCCTCATCCAACTCCACCGAGCATTCGCTCGCCCCTCGTCCAACTCCACCGAGCATTCACTCGTCCCTCGTCCAACTCCATCTAGCATTCACTCGCCCCTCGCCCAACTCCACCGAGCATTCACCCGCCCCTCGTCCAACTCCACCGAGCGTTCACTCGCCCCTCACCCAACGTCACCTGATTGGTCCCCTTTTGCGTGTGGGACGAAGGTGCAGAGTCCAGATTTTTCCCGGACAAGCTGCGTAAATCCGTCGTAGCGTTTGACGTAACCCGGCATTTCAGGAGAAATTAGGCGTTTCATTTACTGTCAGCGTTTCACATAACCTTCGTAAGATTAACACACCGCCATCTGACGGAATAGATAAAGTTCAAATGCCTTTGAGGCTGCGGGCATTTATGTGATCACCATTCTTACGCTAGTTCACGATGGAGCTGATGTTTCATTAAATGACCACCATTACTCATTGAGCTTTCGTCTCATACGATGGGACTGATTGTCCTAACTCCTCAAGAGCCGATCGTACGGTTCTCAGCCGTGCCAAGCTCGCGATTCGGTACCCAATTATTGGGTTGCATATTGCCACATACTCAATTTTCGGCCGGTTCCCACAGCCGTACACGGGCGGTTCAGATCACCGGCTGCCGCATGTGGCAGGCACCTGGGTTCGAATCCCAGGGGCGGCTGATTGTTTGACGTAACAGGTGACAGTTAGCGGGAGGCGAGAGGGTGCCCATGGCTATACTGCCCGGCCGTGCCAAAGCACTGGATGACACGTAAAAGGTAGCCCGGATAGGAGCAGACACAATTGTGTCGAAATGGGCGAAACAGAAGTCCCGAACCTGAACCTCAAATCTAGAAACAGTTAGGAACGACATAAAAGAAAAGGCGAGAAAATGAAAACAAACAAAAA